CAGGGAGAGGGAAGGGACCTTTGAGAGCCCTTTGCCCCTGCGGCCGGTGTCTCCTTCCCAGTGCCACCACTGGAAAGGCTGGGCGATCTCCCACCGCTCCTCACCTTGTTTCTAGACACACTAGAAGTGTTCGTAAAGCTTTTACCCCTCTGTTTTCAGCCAAAAGCCTTCACCTGAAACTTAACCTCAGGGGTGTCCACGGGTCGGGATTTCTCGCAGACTGTTGGTGATATTTTCTTATTTGATTTCTGGCGTGTGGTGTAAGTTGGTACAAAAAAACACATTATACATTTAAAGGCAGCCTTGTAATCAGATTGCTGTGAGATAATATCACGTAAAGCATTTAATCCTGCTTAGATGTAGCCAGCCGAGATAATTACGTACATTGGACTCGTAGGAAGCGAGTGGGGAGGGTGATGCAGAAAGCGCATATGAAAATCCTTCTTTTCTGTTTGTACCCTGGAGGTGAATGAAATTATATATCTGTTCCTTGGTATGATTGAAAAGCTGGCTGGGGGCCAGGCCTGAAATTACCTGTGGAAACAATAGCTGTCAATGAAAAGGTGGAGTTCGGAGCAAAGGCAATATAAACACACAGCTAAGCCTGCAAAATGGAGATGGGCTCTGCTGATCAGCCGGGAGGAGCCGGCTCTCGTGCAGAGACCGAGCTGGTGGGAAAAGAGTAAAGTTATCCCGTGGTTGGAGCTGGGTGTGCTTGGCCCCAAACCCTACCTGGATGTGGGTGCCGGGATGCAGCTGGGGCTTTGCCCTCCCAGGGGCTCTGGCAGCGGTGTGGTCCCTCCCCATCACGGGCGACGGCCGCTGAGCCCCCTTGGTGAAGCTGTCCTGTGTCTCTGCCTCTGTGAAACAGGGAGGAACCCCTGGCCCGCAGCACGCAAGGGTGTACGCTCCCGGTGAGCACAGAGCGGGGGGTTCTGTCTTTCCATCCTTTTGATGGGTGGCAGTCAGCCTTCGGAGGGGCACAGCGGTGCCTGGCCCGGTTTGCAGTGTCCTTTGAGCCCCTTACAAGTGTAACATTAAATTGTAGCATCAATGCTGGTGATTTCCCGCGCCTGCTACTCATTTTTCAGTAAAATCTCACATATACAAAAACTTTAGATTCTTGGGGTTTATCTTTAAATGATAATAATTTTTTGCATTGGCTGGAGGAAAACTTAAACTGTGACTCCCCTCCATCCCAAAGCCTCAAACCCCAAAAGGTAAAGAGAAAGATCTTTTTCGAAACAGCATGTGTAAGTGCTTTTGCGATAGAGCTTAAAAATAACCCAAAACCTGGTACAAGTTTGTGGCCTGCTTCCTGATGCTTTTGTGGATGTTTTGGGGTTTTGCAGGCCCTGCTAATGATGGAGGGTGACCTGAGTGTTTAGCTAATTCGAAAAATCCCCCAATTCTTCGCAGCCCTGGAGGTGGCTGCGTTTGGCAGCAGGCGAAGCTCGGAGGTGGTTTGGCACTGCGTGTGCAAGCACGTGTGTCCCAGGTGTGCAGCTGGTGCTTGGAGAGCTTCACCAAGCAAAGCTCCTGCAAAAAAACCCGGCAATGCAGCACTGGGTGTATTCTGCTGCTTTTCTTGTGCTTTTTTTTCTTTCAGAGGCTGAACCACCGAGACGCTTTCCTGTAGGACGGCCATGGGCACAGTATGCAATCGGGCAGTTCGTGGCTGGTGAGAAGACGGTGGAGGAGTCCATGGCAAAACTCCTCTGCAACCGGGAGAGCTGCCCGGGACAAGTGTCAGGTTGTGCTTATGGCTAAGTGGTGGATGGAGAGGCTGCTGATAGCTTGGGTGTGCGGTACTATACGCATGTTTGCCGGGGGATTAGGGCTTTGGAGAGGGGATTATTTGGGGCTACGAGTGTGTAATGCAAAGCGTTGGGCGTCTCCCTTTGGGGATGCAGCTGAGCCATCCCTCCCGGAGCTGTGGTGCAAGGAAGAAGTGCTGTCCCCTTTGCTCTGAGCAAATCCCACCTTACTCCCCACCTCCGTGTGATGCCAGGCAGCTCCCGGCCGGTGCCAGGGTGGCATGTGGCGGGCATGGAGGTTGGCACCACAGCACGACACCTGCTCAGCTGCC